TTAATCTATTAAGTCACCAACCTCGAAAATAAAAGCTCCACCTCAGATGTTAACTGAAATAACGCTTAGAAGGGTAAAGTTTCCAACTTTACCCTTAAGAACCATTGCAATGGGTCAAAAAACCCAAAACCTAAGCATAAGAGGTGAAGGAGTTAATCAATAATCACCAAATAATCAATAAAAAGCTCATGGATGCAGATCTAGGCCTTAAAGGTTGGAAGGTCAAGTAAAGTTTCCAACTTTACTCTCATGCAAGGCTAGAAGAAGCTCAAAAGCTCAAAAGAGGCCAAAAGAAGGGCTTAATGGATGCATGGAGCCTTTAAGACCATAACGTTGGCACCTTTATGCCACAAGAGCTCCCAAGAACCATGGATCTAAAATAATAACTCCTTTGGGACGACCAATACCCCCATCAACCACTCAAACTTGGCTAAACCATGGAAACTTGCCCTAGCAAGGAGATCTAAGCATATAATAAGCAAGGTTAGGACTTTATACTCGAAAAATGATGGAAATGGTGTAAAGAATTGATATCTGAAAGCTCCTTCTTGAATCCCCACCTTACACTAAGATCATCTTCCTTCAATAAGCTTTAAATACCCACAATGCATTCAAAATGGGCTCAAAACACCCAAGGAAGCTCTAGGGTTTCAAGATTAGGGTAAGGAGCAATGGAGGATGGAAATGAGGCCAATACATGGGACTTAAAGTGTTTAAATACGGTGCATAACCCCCAAATTATGGTTTCTCAATTAAGGTCCAACTCGTCGAGTTGGACTTCACCAACTCGTCGAGTTGATCCTCAAAAATGCGTGTGATAAAGACCTCCATCACGCCGAGTTTCCTTCCCTAAACTCGACGAGTTGGCCTTTAGCAAGGATGATTTATTTCCATAATTACCTTCTAGATTCTAGACATTAGAAGTACGAGATCGATTCCCCATTCCAAACATCGATTAGCTCCTTGACGTGCTACACATAACAACTATTTTTTCTAAGATAGACCTCCGATCCGGCTACCATAAAATACGAGTATCAGAAAAAGACATTCATAAAAGAACGTTTCGTACAATCGAAAACCATGACGAGTTTCTCGTCATGCCATTTAGCCTTACAAATGCACCATTGACTTTTCAGTCCGCCATGAATGATCCCTTCAGACCCGCCCTTCAACGGTTCGTGTTAGTCTTCTTTGACGATATCTTAGTCGTCAGTCATTACTTGGATACTCATTATGAACACTTAAGGGTTATTTTCAAAGCTTACGAGATCACCAATTTCACATCAAACCATCCAAATGTATGTTTGCTATGCAATAGATCTCCTTCATGGGACACAAAATTTCATTAACCGAAGTAGCACCAGAAGCAAAAAAGATACAAGCAATACAACAATGGCCACAACCCACATCCTTCACAACCTTACGCACTTACTTAGGATTGACGGTATATTACCGTTGCCCATTATACTACTGTGACTAGTCATCTAGTAGAGTATAGATGACGACCACTGACTATTATAGACAGTATTGTGAAACACTAAAAAAAATATCAATCTATAGGTGTTAAGGAACTATACTTTCATTTTGATAATGTATCCCCTTCGTTGTTTTCTTTATTGATTGATATTGCTAAGGAATCCCCGGAGTAGTATTGTCTACTCATTGCTTATAGTGATCCATTAGAATAGGTCCCTTGAGATAATCATTTTAGGATTAGTGTGTGAGAATAACAGGAATCGGTAATCATGTTAATTATTTGGTATGAAATATGTATTTAAAAGAAAATATGTAATTATATAATTATGGGTTGAACATCTTATGTACTCACCAAGCTCCCAAGCCTAACACACTTGACCCACTCAGTTATTAATTTTTTATTTATTATTATTATTGTTATTTTTTGTGTTACAGGTACCAGTACGACGACACTAGGACAATGATTTCAATTTGCTGAGTGATTTGAGGAGATTATGGCTAATAGGATAAGAAACTATTATAAGTCCTTCAATAACTTAGTTATGCTTTATGTTTAGTGTGTCACTTATGAAATCCAGGGTTTTTAATGTTAACGAAAACAAAAGGATTCATCAAAAATGTTTTTACACTAAATTCATTTTAAAAACAAAAATGTTTTGAGACAATTTCACACTAATGTATTCTTTTAAAGGATACCATGTTTTAAATATGTATAAATAAAACATTTTATTTGGCCACGATAATTAGGGATAACACATTCCTCTTGATCCTCTAAAATCTCCATGGATTTGTTAGCGTATTTGACACTGCATCGTGTTGTTGGATTAAGGTATCTAAGTTCTTAACTAAAATTAGTGTATTCTTATGAATAAAAAAAGTCATTTTTAGGTTTCCCTAATATCCAAAAATAGATAGAGATGATATTTGAAGAGAAAGAGAGAGAGAGAGAGAGAGAGAGAGAGAGAGAGAGAGAAATTATTTATTAATTTATTATATAATTAATAAGTTAATAAGCAATTTACTAGAATTAGCTTTGAATTAATCAGAAATAATTGGAAAATAATTTTGGGTTAAATACTTTTACTTAAAGATGCAAGGGTTGAATTGCAATTTTTTAGTAGTTGAGAAAAGGAAGAAATATTCAAACTAGGGTTTAGGATAGTTTCTTGAAGCCTCTTCATCTAATAAGGATATCAGATTAGATCTGAATATTTAATATTCAAATTAGGGTTTATCCCATATATCATGCAACTATAAATAGACCCCATAGGGTACGATTTTCAATGAATTGTTACCTTGTGTAGCTTAGGCCAAAAACTTCATCCTCTTTCCTATCTCTCTAAATTACTTCTTAGTTTCTAGGGTTTCGGTGTGATCCATTAGAGGCTACCATAATATTGGTGCTATCTTTCTGAAGAGCTACTAAGGATTCAAGAGTGGTACGAACGATTATAGCATTATAGGTATGTAATCATATTCATCATTTTTTATGCTACCTAGATTTTATGATATTTCAATAGTATTTTGCAATAATGTGCATATAAATAGATCTCTAGGTTGCATCTATCCATAATTAGATTTTAAGATGATTCTGCTATGAAAAATATGTTTAATGTAACCTAGAACACTCGTTAGTGGTATAAGAACCTAGGGTTCTTTCTTTTATATATATATATATATATATATATATATATATATATATATACATATATATATATATACATATATATATATATATACATATATACACACACACACACACACACACACACATATATATATATATATATATATATATATATATATATATATATATATATATAACATGAATGAAAAATAAAAAAATCGAACAACCCTTTTATTCATCGAGAACGGCGTTCCCAGTGCATGACACAATTCCCCTCTTGTTTTGCCAGACTTAGGTTTTCTTTCCTCTTTCATCTTTGAGGATAATTACTTGATACTCCTTCTGTCCCAAATTAATTGTCCGCTTTTGACTTTTGAAGTTATTTTTCTTCAACTTTGACCTTAAATATTTTTATTTGTGTTATATATTACTTAATGAAACTTATAGCAATAAAAATACACTTCAAATACAATCTATTCATATATTTTTCATCAAGTATTATCTATCAAAAGAAAAATATTTAAGATCGAAGTTGAAGAATAAAGACTTAAAAGTCAAATGTGAACAATTAATTTGGGACGAAGATAGTAATTGATAGTTATCATAAATGAGTTAAAATCTAAACTTTTAATTATGTAATAGGATGTATCCAAATTCTAAAATCAAAGGGAATTAAATATGGAATTAATGGAATTTAACTAAATGTTTAATTAGGATAATAATAATCCATAAAATATTATTATTCTTAAATATTTGAATATTAATAATTTAAAAGGTAAATAAATTAATTAGACTCAAACCTTATAGTTTTAAAATGTTTAAAATATATTGTTATATATTATACGAGTTTATAATACTATATGTATATGATTTAATAATTGTCAGTCAAACTAAGAGTAAGTCTCATTCATGAAGCCATACTATAAGAGTGGTATAAGGAGACGACCAATAAAATTAATGTCGAATGA